CAAAATGTTTTTTGGACAGACAGACAGACATACTGATGGATGGGCATAGGTAAACCAGTTTGGAGGTATAATAAAAATAGTGTATCAGAAAATTTTGTCAGCTCAGAGTACTTGAAGCAATCTCAAAGTATGGCTTACTTGTTATTTGAGACATTCTATGAAAATGCAGACAATATTTACATTCTACTGTACTTTTAGAATTAGATGAACAAATTTCAGTAGCAATGCAATCAGAATCCATATATCTGTACAAGTGTAACTGTGTTGTGCAAGCTTTTATCAATCTTAGATCTTACAGTCACATATTAAGTTACAGTTCCAAAATACACTGAAGGATTGTTTGAATATCAGAGGTGGTCCTAAAATTTAAAGCTTGTTATCAAAGTTAAGTCAAATTCTTATAAAATTAAGAAATATAAAGAAACCACGGTGAGAACCAGTGATTACAATATTTACAATACTATTTCCTGCCACCCAACTCAAAAGAACCTTAAATGCTTAGACAAGTGACAATACAGTCTGCACCAAAATCTTTTCAAACTACTTGTCTGAAGAACAATATTCCTACCATTTCCTTATGCGTGTAAACAAAGTTTTGCAAATACTTACTAGTCCCAATAAAATTTTACTAGTCTGGAGCATTGGACGACTTGTGGCTTAAACGGTACAATATGACAAAAGTTTAAGGTATCTAGGCTTTTTTGGAGGGAAAACTTACAGCTACTCACTAAAAATACTAAATACTAGCTATATATAGTAGCAAGAATGCAAACGTGCTAACTTAAGCATACCCCCACTCGTAATTCAATGTATCTATAAACACAAAGTGGGTGTCTGACAGATCCAACAATCATTCACATCTTACAACTCATCACTGCCCAAATTGCGAATAAGATATGAAGTTATTCTGATCAATATTATTGTAGAAATAGGTGACCACAAAATTTAATTTATTCAAATATATGGGAAAATTCAAAGTTTGAGCAAACAGGAATTATTAGGCTGACAGTTCTTAAAAGTTCATATGTTGCTACTCATCACTGTTAAGCTACTGACCAAATATTATGTCATTCAGTTCAGAAGTACTGGATAAATGTGACAAAATATTTAAGGTGCATTCGTCATATTGAAAAATTTACAGTATCAGGAAACACAAAGTACATGTCTTAAAGATCAAAAAAGTAACCTCACATTAATAATCATCACTGTCAAGCTTCTGACCTAATATCAAGTCATTCTGTTTGTAGTATCTGAGAAAAGTGTGGTGGAAATATTTTTCAAGAATGACAGATGACCAGAATGATAGACAACGTTTTGCAGTATAGGCATAAGCCCCACCTCTACTCCTAGAGTTTGGGTACAGTAGGTTATATGAGCACATTTATCTACATATTGTGCCCTCAATAAATCTACTGTTTTGTTTTAAATTTTAAATGTAATACTTTAGGTCGTCAGATCAAGAGCTAGTATATACATGTACCTGTATGTGTTATATATTATTTAACAATACGAATCAATGCTTATCTAGAACATTTAAATACAATACTGTTATTGCATGGCTGTATTATCTAATTTTCACAATTATATAAACGCTCTTTATTCAAGGTTGTTCTGGCATAATTATAAATTTCTTTTTGATGATATAACGAGGGTTTCATTATCTGTACCTCTCTATGTAATTAATTTTTAAAGAGATTTAAATTCTGACTTTATCTAAAACTAGTTTTGATCTCTATAGATACATGTAATTACATTTTTCAACCCTAGCAACAACATTGAAGAATTTCATTATTTAATAATAGAATTTTAGAGTCATTTATACAACAAGCAACCTATTTTTATTTGTAGTCTTCTTTCATTTTTCCCCTAATGTTTCATCACTAACAAAGAACTTTTAAATAGAACACATCTTTCATTTTTCCCCTAATGTTTCATCACTAACAAAGAACTTTTAAATAGAACACATCAAAGACGTCATTATTCAATTACTCTCAATAAAAAAATGTTCAATCTTAAATTCACTCCATTATGTATATTATAACAAAGCACTTAAAGAACCAAGTGTTTTTTTTTTACTCCTCAATATGCATCTATGTGCAGTGTTGCACATTTGTGAACAAAGAGGTATCAACAGGATGTAAATTACACGAAAGTAGTATTCTTTCAACAGCCAGGGGCATAATACTCAACAAATTATTATTTTCAATCATCTAATTAAATAATTTTACGAGATCGAATAGTTCAGAAAGAATAAGAATTATTTTAAATTACCTCTAATAGAGTCCTCTTGCTTATCTACTAATGACTAGACCAGGCTTGTAAAATTGCTTTCAGGTATATATGTAAAAATAGTCTATATATACAGGCCAATAGAATTTATATAAAAATTTTCGTATAATTGAAAAATCTGACTTGTGGACTCCAAAGTTTATTGTGAAAACTGCTCTAATATGACCAGATACCCCTTTTTTCATTTTGTAAACAAAGCTATGGTTTAATTACACCAAAAACAAGGGTGCAGATGCTTGATGTCACAATTGAATTTTTTGAGGGCAGAGTTCAATATGGACATTTTTTTAGTATTTCTCTCTATATAGGAAATTCAATAAAATCTTTTTAAAACAAGAATGTATCCATAGTACACGGATGCCCCACTCGCACTTTCATTTTCTATGTTCAGTGGACCATGAAATTGGGGTCAAAACTCTAATTTGGCATTAAAATTAGAAAGATCATATCTGTCATTATAGGGAACATGAATACTAAGTTTCAAGTTGATTGGACTTCAACTTCATCAAAAACTAACTTGACCAAAAACTTTAACCTGAAGCGGGACAGACGGACGGACGGATGAACAGATGGAAGAACAAACAGACGCACAGACCGAAAAACATAATGCCCCTAGGTGGGGCATAAAACTCTCAAATCTTTTTTACCATGAAGTTTTTTAAAACGTTTCAGATTCTTCAAACCAAAATGACTGACTTTTGAATAAGTTTACCAACTATGCACCTCTCTTACGCTTGACATAACAATTTTGACAAGTATAACGCCTACCATGTTTAATCAAAATTGAATAGAGTTATACAGATCAATGTTTACTTTAAATACAAGGATACAAATGCTACATCTTTATGTTATTTACATGTACATCTGAGAAATACAAATAATTTCTTTATATAAAATTAATGATAACAATTATACAAGTAGCATATATATATGTCATATATGTTATTTATTTTGGGTTACAAATTACAAATAAAATCAAGCCTAAATAAAATAATTTTTTTCCATTTATTCATTTCTATTTTCAATATTTTTAGCAAAATTATAAATTTATAGTCCCAAAAGACCAATCTTTGACCTAGGATGGAATTTAGTATTTCAGGAGGATTAGTTTTAAGCTTCACAAGAAAAATATTAAAAAAAATTTTAAATGGGTATTTTTTTAAAAAAATTTTTAAAATAATATAATGTTTACTTATCATCAACATTTTTTTTAACAGAGCACATTACACCATGTCTATCTGTTTATCAAGTACAACTACATGTAAAAATGCATGTAATAGTTACATGTAGTGTGATTAACACTCGAATTACATAGAGAGTTCATATAGTATATATATTTTATCATACATGCTTTATACAGCATTTTTCCAATATTAATCTCCTGAGTCAAAATTTGGTATTTACAAACAGTTATTTCTGGTGTTCCATTGAATCCTTTTTAGGATAACACAATAAAATGTTTTATACTATACTATTGTTAATCTAATATTACAGATATTTAAAAACATAACTGCCCACCATGCCCATACAAATAGAAATATGTAAATGTTACCAATCTTGATGATGAGGGCAACTGAATAGTTGGTTATTTTAAACCTTTCCAGGATATTATTTAGAAATCATATTAAATAAGGGGGCATAACTCTAGAACGGTAAAAGTGACGTCACCAAAATTCAAACTTGATCTGTGTTTTGTGGTAATAAGCATTGTGTATAAGTTTCATAACATTTCGTTGAGGCAAACTAAAGTTAGAGAACGGAAACTAATTTTGGAACGTACGGACGGACAAGGGTAAAACTTAATGCCCCTTCCACTATGGCAGGGGCATAAAAACACATAAAAGTCAGTAGAGTGGAACCTTGTTAATGGCTTTATGCATCTTGTTTCACTTTGTTTGGAGATCATGTAATAGTAACATTGTTCCCTTCAAGCATGATTTATTTGCCACTTGACATTAAGCAACCAACAATCAAACAATCAATCAATATCAATCATTGTGTACATCTAATTTTGTCTCTGGACTTGTGTTAGTTCCAACTATGTTGATATACCACCTTCATCTAGGAATCTACATGTATATATTGATATACCACCTTTATCTAGGAATCTACATGTATATATTGATATACCACCTTCATCTAGGAATCTACATGTATATATAGATTCTACCACTGCATTGAGTGTGATATGATATTTATCCACTCGAGACAGATAAATTTTCAAATTTAAAACGCGAGGCTTGCCGAGCGTTTTAAATATTTAAAATTTAACTGTCGAGAGTGGATATTGTATTACACCAGATTTGATTTTCAAACAATATGCAGGCAAACTTATTCCTTCATTTTGAATGATCTGCAAAAAGATGTGTTCTTTCTATGTGACGTCATCAGACATGGTCGCCTTTTTTCATGCCGTCACAATAGGAAATTCAGAGGAAAGCAAGAAAATTTGACGTCATAATCGGATTTTAACCAATGAAGAACTGAGATCAAACGAACCACACGTTGATTAAATATTTTTTATACAATGGGTGCAGAAAGGGATAAATTGACGAAGAATTAGAGAAATATTGATATACCACCTTCATCTAGGAATCTACATGTATATATTGATATACCACCCTCATCTAGGAATCTACATGTATATATTGATATACCACCTTCATCTAGGAATCTACATGTATATAATATAACTTGGTCATGTTTATTACCTTGATTCTATGGCAGAAAAATCCACACCCAGTTCTGTACCTGTTGGAGCATCTGAAATAATATGTTAAAATCAGTTCCAACCAATGACAAGATTTATAAAGTCCAACATCTGAAATAATATGTTAAAATCAGTTCCAACCAATGACAAGAGTTTCATGTAGTCCAACATCTGAAATAATATGCTAAAATCAGTTCCAACCAATGAGTTTCATGTAGTCCATGTACTTACAGCAATGCTGACTACATTAAGTTATATATAGTAACCAACAATTTATAACAGTAAGTAATTCAATGGAATTATAGGAGAGATGTATTTCCTAAAGCTCTTATAAGTTTTAAAATAGATGTACAATGATTTACGATACATATGTTCCCTTTAAACGAAAAGGGAAAAAATTTCCCAGTAAACGGATGATGTACAGTCACAAACCAAGCCATCTTTGTAAGGACTGTGTCTGTCAAGGTTTATTTGAGTGTGATATCATACTGACTGCTGTTGTGGATTTAGAATTATCTCCTAGGAATCACAGCAGACTACTAAAATTGTCCAAAAGGATTCTCTTACACTTTTACTGAAATTCACTCTCTAGTGTAGGAGGCATCGTGAGTACAAGTGTTGACAGACAGATCACTTATCAAACTATTCCGACTAAATGGACACATCAATCACTGTATAAACCCCCCCCCCTTTTTTCTCTACATTTGATATTAAAAACACAAAAAAATCATTTGGATAAATAAATAGAAGGTGTATAATGTCATTGGACAAATGTAACTTGTAAGATACTTAGGAGATAACTGTATTGTATTTTAAGCTCCGACGACATCAATTGGTGATTTGATTGTCGCAAATTAAGTTTACTGGCGATGCGTTAGCGGAGTCAGTAAACAGGTATTTGCGACCATCAATTGATGCCATCAGAGCTTAAATACAATATTGTTATCTCTATTCTAATGAAACTGATAGAAAACAAGGTCAAATCATACATTTAAAATCTGTCATACGTCATCTGCACTTGCGCGTACGTTTTCATAGCATCTATTGTGAATTGATGCCATGAAAATTGGTGACGTTATCCAATCAAAATGAATGTTACAAACGATGTTGCATTAGAATTAAGATTGTCAGAAAGTTCCAATGAAATCCTGTCCTGTTTTAGTAGGAATTAAATGTACAAGGCGTAAAAGAATGAAACAAAACAAACACTGTGTAACCCCCGTTTGTGAGCCGAAGGTTAATACATAAAGGGAAAATTGGCCTCACTTCTTAGCTTTGCTTGCATTGTTATGAGAACTAAATTGTGTTCCCCATTTTTCTTTGCTTGCATCGACTATTTGTTTGTCATCTATTTTGACAATTTTAAGATGAAAAAAAAATTCAAAAAATGCAACAAGATTTGTTTTGTGGCTGTTTTTCTGACACTTAAATCTGTGACATGGTCATACATGTATCTGAAACCAGATCAGATAAAACTAGCTAGAGTTGTCAACAAAATCCAGATATAAATCACTCAAACATAGATTTGCTATTACACCAAACAAGATTATCTGGTAATAGATGTTAAATCAATATTTATTTATCACTCCAATGCATTGTTATTTGATAAAATTAAGGTACTTAAAACTGCTAGATGATCTAAATTATAACACCTCAAGAGACAATGATATAATTAAATAGCTCTATAATTTCAATAAATCATCATGTTGAGGTGACCTAATATGTCAATCAGCATTTCTCCTAATTGTCAAGACTTTATTGATAGCTTAACTATATATATATATATATGTGAGCCATTCTACACTTAACATGATTTGATAAATGGGCACAAATTGGACACTGTATTATAAAACAGATGTGTAAAAACTGATGGACCAATTTCGAGCAATATAGTGGCAAATTGTCCGGAAAATATATCAAAGAGATAAAAAAAACCAATATGCATAAAAAAGAAGTGACATGAATAGCAGGAAATGGATTTTTGGTCAGTACAATTTTTTTGCTAAAAAAAAAAAGACATTGTTCTTGTTGGAATAGAAAAGATTTTTTTTTAATATGCAGTTAAATCCCAATGTTAAATCAATTAAGTCAGTGGCAGAGAAATAAAATTACATAGACATGATATTATTCCCTAAAAAAAAGTACATTTTTAGTTTGTAGCTTTAAGAACGTTAAATGCAATTCAAGAGTTTGTGTCAAAATGAAGTCCTTTTTAGTTTAATACACATTTAATGTTTTATAAATATATAATAAAATGCTTCGCTGGGCGCAGCTTGATACGACCGCAGAGGTCGAACCCTGAACAGTTGGGGCAAGTATGGACACAACATTCAAGCTTGATACAGCTCTGAATTAGGATTGTGATTAAATATTTGACACAGCATAGGTTTCTGACACAGAAAAAATGTGGTCTAAGAACTTCAATTTTTTTAATTTACCTATTATGGTCCAATGTCCAAAATCAAAATACATGGTTAGATTCAGCATATCAAAGAACCCCATATATTCAATTTTTGTTGAAATCAAACAAAGTTTAATTTTGGACCCCAACTTGGACAAACTTGAAAACTGGTCCCATAATCAAAAATCTAAACAAATGTTTAGATTCAGCATATCAAAGTACCCCAGGAATTCAATTTTTGTTAAAATCAAACTAAGTTTAATTTTGGACCCTTTGGACCTTAATGTAGACCAATTTAAAAAACGGGACCCAAAATTAAAAATCTAATCAAAGCACGAAAGCGCTGTAATGGCAGTTAATTACAGGTTGTGTGTATTTTAAGTCCAGTTATATCATTATCTTGCATAGTACAGTGTACTTATCAGAGGTGGCTTTCAGTATTTAAGATTTAGAGTTCTCTAATGATATTGAATAAGTTTTATGAATGTCATATTCTGAGCACTATATGAAGGCGATTGTTCTCACTTGTTTATGAACTAGTGCATTATGTCCAGTTTGTACCTTTTTTATCTATGTTTATAGTCAAATTAGTTATCAAAGGTACCAGGATTATAATTTAATACGCCAGACGTGTGTTTCGTCTACAATAGACTCATCAGTGACGTTCAGATCAAAATAGTAACAAAGCCAAACAAGTACAAAGTTGAAGAGCATTGAGGACCCAAAATTCCAAAAAGTTGTGCCAAATACGGCTAAGGTAATCTATTCCTTGGATAAGAAAATCCTTAGTTTTTCATTGGCAATCATAACACATCTCCTTATCTATATAATGATCTATATTCAATGACCTCAGGTACAAAAAAAAAGTATGTAACTAAACTATGATGGGAAACCTTTGACTTCTTTCTTTATATAAACTTTTGATTTGGTACCGTAGAACTATGTAGAGTAAATGTACATTGCAACATGTCAACTCTTTCAACTCCAAGCAAAATTATATTTCCAAGCATAAAGTAATTTATGAATGAAATAAAATGCTCCGCTGGGGCGCAGCTTGATACGACCGCAGAGGTCGAACCCTGAACAGTTGGGGCAAGTATGAACACAACATTCAAGCTTGATTCAGCACTGAATTTGGATTGTAATTAAATATTTGACACAGCATAGGTTTCTGACACAGAATGAAAGTGGTCTAAGATACTTAAAAAAATTTAATTTACCTATTCAAACCATATCATTATTATTTGCTTTTATATATAAATCAGAAATAACCAATTTAAAATGGAAAATTTTAAAGAAAAAAAAGGAAAAAGAATCCCCCCCCCAAAATTTTTTGAACCCCCTTATGATTCATCACCCCAAAACTCAATCCCAGCCTTCCCTTTGTGGTATGGTACCTTGCAGTACAATTTCAGAGAGATCCATACACTTGAACACATGTTATTGTCTGGAAACTAGAAAAATGCTTGTTTTTTTGCCCCTTTTTGGTCCCAAATTCCTAAACGTTTAGGGCAATTACCCCCAAACTCAAACCCAGCTTTCCCTTTGTGATATGGAACCTTGTAGTACAATTTCATAAAGATCCATACACTTACACACAAGTTATTGCCATGAAACTAGAAAAATGCTTGTTTTTTGCCCCTTTTTGGCCCCTAATTCCTAAAATTTGGAGGCAATTACCCCCAAAATCAATCCCAGCATTCCCTTTGTGATATGGAACCATGTGATGCAATGTCAGAGAGATCCATAGACATACACACAAGTTAGTGTCATGAAACTAGAAAAATGCTTGTTTTTTGCCCCTTTTTGGCCCCTAATTCCTAAAATGTGGAGGCAATTACCCTCAAAATCAATCCCAGCATTCCCTTTGTGGTATGGTACCTTGCAGTACAATTTCAGAGAGATCCATACACTTGAACACAAGTTATTGTCTGGAAACTAGAAAAATGCTTATTTTTGGCCCCTTATTCCTAAACTTTTTGGGCAATTACCCCCAAACTCAATTCCAGCTTTCCTTTTGTGATATGGAACCTTGTAGTACAATTTCATAAAGATCCATACACTTACACACAAGTTATTGCCATGAAACTAGAAAAATGCTTGTTTTTTGCCCCTTTTTGGCCCCTAATTCCTAAAATTTGGAGGCAATTACCCCCAAATTCAATCCCAGCATTCCTTTTGTGATATGGAACCTTGTGATACAATGTCAGAGAGATCCATAGACTTGCACACAAGTTATTGTCATGAAACTAGAAAAATGCTTGTTTTTTGCCCCTTTTTGGCCCCTAATTCCTAAAATTTGGAGGCCATTACCCCCAAAAATCAATCCCAGCATTCCCTTTGTGATATGGAACCTTGTGGTACAATGTCAGAGAGATCCATACACTTACACACAAGTTATGTCTGGAAGTTACAAAAATGCTTATTTTTGGCCCCTTTTTGGCCCCTAATTCCTTAACTGTTGGTACCATAACCCCCAAAATCAATCCCCACTTTCCTTTTGTGGTATTGAACCTTATTTTAAAATTTCATTGAGATCCATTCATTTAAACTAAAGTTAGAGTGCGAAAACTAATGTGTCTTCGGACGACGACGCCGGACGACGACGCCGCCAACGTCATACCAATATACGACCACAAAAATTTTTTTGCA